CTGCGTGGTGCATCACTAAGAGACATATGCCCAGAATTGAACTTCTGGAACCATTGCATAGCCGTTCATTTGTTAATGGCATCATCCTCAGAGGCCTGGCAAATTTGGTGACTGTCAGCAGCAGAACAAATAACTCCGAGTGAGTGCCTTTGACGCATCCATTTCAATCACTGTATGAGTTATGTTTGAAGTATCGATCAGGGTTGCCACTCAAACAGGAGAATGAAATTCCCTGACTTTTCCAGATATGTTTCGAGAAAATTCCAGTCTATCGGCGTAATGTATGTTGGCTGTGCTAAGAGGTAAATTAATTATGGTATTTCTTCTACTGTGTAGCAAATTCACTTAATTATTCAATAAATCCCAGAGGACATTTATTCTTAATTATTCTTGGTACACTTTGTTTGATAACTTTGTTTACTTTTCCACTTAAGAAACTTAATAAAATTAAAGGTATATACATTGGATAACAATTGTACATTTTATTTAATTACTACTCGTGATCATCACCAGTTCAACATGAGGCTAATCCGGTTCTTATAAATCACAACGCAATGCTAAAAGTTAGGTTAGATTTTAGGTACATTTAATTTGTGTGAGGTGTCTTCTTAAAAGGCACCTTAACACTTGAAAACACAAATATAATTATAATAGCAGTTCTTTTCTCCACTGAAGATTGAGATTAGAATCTGCCCAATCTGGAATAAAATAAAGCTTTTTTTGCAGACATTCTGCAGCTAAATGAAAGAAAGAAATCTATTTAATGATCTTTTTTTACTAAATTGAGGTATTTTATATTTATTTCGCAGCATACATAAGGAAAAAATATGTGCATTAAATTTTGTGATGTCATCATGCTGCTAGAATCAATTTCAGGATTACGCCAGAGAAAATTTCCTGAAATTTGGAAATATTATTTACTAATGATAAATAAATTTAGAGGGAAGAAGCAACATTAAATGATATGACTAACATAAAAATAAAGATAATTACTTAAAATTGAATTAGAATAATCAACGATATTTTAGTGAATATAGTTATATTACATGGTTAGCCTAGATGACTGATTACTATTTTTTATTTTACTGCAAAATGACAAGGTATTTATTAAAAAGAAAAGAGAAAAAAAAAAAAAGATTTTGCGGTAAAATCCTAGTATATATGGTACGGCCTTCGCACGATTTTGAAAATTGTCGCCAAGAACAAAATGACCCGTTTACTGCTCATCATCATATCGCCAAATCCCGCTGTACCATACATGGAGATTATTCTAACCATAGAACGTCTACGTAAAGAAGAAAAGGTTCCATACAGGTAAATGCTATTACGCGGGTAGAAAGCGGAGGGAAAATTTGCCAAGGGATTTGGCGACGGAACCTGGCAGCCCGAATTTCCCTCTCCGCAATGTGTACAGGAAATTGAGAAACATGTGTTAAGAAGAAATGTTCTTTGCAGGGGCGTAGCTAGGAGGGGGCATCTGTCCCCGGGTGCAGAATCCGAGGGGCACCAAACTGATGTTACTATATTTTAGAATTAAATCTTTTCCATCCTTGGCAAGCAGTAGGGGGCGCGAAATCTTCAGTTGTCCCTGGGCACTGAAAACCCTAGCTACGACTCTGATTCTTTGACAAAAAAGAAAACTATGAAAATCCGTTTTTAAATTATTGCGAAAAATCCAAGAAGAAACTTGGATTTTTCGCAATAATTTTAAAGACGGATTTTCGTAGTCCCCCCCCGTTAAAATCACTAATCCATGAATTAATTTACTTGCGCCAAAAAATATTTTCTTTTCCTTTAGAGTTTAAAGAAATTTTAAAAGATATTCATTTTATGAACTCTTGATAACGTGACCTTCGAACTTCGACACCGGTTTCGAGCTTTGGCGACAGATATATCGCGCATGTACAGCTGTTTCCCTCTATGATGGAACGGAGCCACGTCTGTTGCAGAGAGGTTTTTCTTCTTTACAATACATATTTTTTTTATTCTAACCTTCATAGTACCGTATACTAGGATTAAACCCATTTTATTTTATACGAGAACAGGTACTTTCTTTAGTTCATGCACTGCACATGCGATTCTCGAGGTTACTGGAAACCAAAAGTTGCGGGAAATTTGCTTTGCTGTTCTAAGAGACAATCAAATTGGAGCTGCGAAAATTGGCTCTATGCCAGCTGCCGGAATGACACTTACGTGATACACAATTCGCCAAAAAAGTGATCTCTTCCGACGTCGGCGCAAAACTCACCTTTTTTGGCGGGATCGTTGTATGAAATTCCCTGACTTTTCCAGATTTTGACTAAAACACTTAAATTCCCTGACTTTTCCCTGAATTTTTTGGTCAATTTCCCAATTCCCTGACTTTTTTCCGGTTTTCCAGGTAGCGTAGCAACCCAAATCGGTGCAGCGCGGTTTTATACTCTTGGTCAGTCTCCAAACTCTCATCCTAACTACTTCATCACCAGGTTTGGAGACTATTTTTATGTTGAGGCTCACTTTTCCAATGTCATATCAGAAACAGAAAGAAATTTTTTGGTTAACTTGTAATTTATTCAAAAAAGAAATTTCTTATACAAATAAATACAGTCAAAAGTCGTTAATCCGGACTTGTCGAGACTTCGGCGATTCCGGATTACAGATCATCAGTTTATATCGCGTAAGATGGCATGCAGAAATTCTAAAATTAAAAATATGAAACTGTAATTTATGAAATAAAGAACAATTATGATCTAAAGGGTATCAAAATTTACAAAAAAAAAGCTTAATATTTGTTTGTTTACTTTCTAAAACATTTCTTTCAATGTAAGTTGTTTAAGTTGCTTCGTTTTATGTGATAATACTTTCTCTTTAATTCAATAAACAGACATAATTTTTTGTTCAGTTACAAAGTTCTGCTGTTCAAGTCCCGTTAATTGCTGTGCCGAGAATACCGACTAACTTGTCAATCGAAATTTTTTCGTTTTCACTAACCTCTCTGTCACATTCTTCATGTCTTTATCCATTTTTTGCAGGAATTCCACTTTTTGTTTGATGGACATCGAAACATACTTTCGTTTTGTACTATCCTTTGGGAGCTCCAGAATCGGAAATTCTATTTGACATAATCAAAAGTTCAAGTTTACTTTTATAGTATTGCTCTTACAGTCTGCAAAAAATAATAAGCCGGACCCAATTCGAAAATTAAGGAACAACGCAATCATCAACATTAACTGAAATAGATAATTTTAGCTTTCTGTTAGAGTCCGTTATACATAAAACGCGCACGTGAAAACGTATTCTGCGCTTGCGCACACGCAAATGCGCAGTCGTAAGAGGTCTTACGCGCACGCATAAATGCCTATGCGCATATGTCAACGCGGTGCATGCACAGAATGTTTTTAGCTTTAAGGTTCGGATTATTGATCATTCCGGATTATGGGTGTCCAAATTAACGACTTTTGACTGTATGTGTAATCATTAATATATAACTATTTTGTTCAAATGCCATTTGCAACTTTATGCTACTTTCAAGGCAACTTTATGATTCCACTTTCAAAATCTCTGATCTTTTTCTGTGGGGAAAAAAAAAAAAAAAAAATGCAACTACGGATTTGCAGACTGTTTTGCATCTGAAAAGAGGCTTTTGGTTATTTGTACATAAAATACCACATTAAGTGCTTTATTAGCTCTCACATGTGATATACTTTATGGTATTTACATTTGTCAATGACGAAAATGGATCAACAAGCAAAAAAACTAAAGATTCTGATATCACTTAATCCTACTTTCAATCAGTATTCAAGTTCTAAGGGAGAAAAAAAAAAAAATCAGAATGTGTGAATATGAAAAATGATAAGCATTTTCTAATACAGACAGACATTTCTCAAATTCTGTTCTAAGTGCATACATTTCTCAAATGCTACTCTAAATGCAGTCATTTCTCAACTTGCATTAATCGAAGTCAAGCTAAAATTTTCTCAGTAAATGAAAATTAAAGAAAAGAGCAGAAATGTATTTTCACATTCAAACAAATAAAAAGAGGATGGCCTGAAAGGATCCAGGCCACCCTAAACGGAGGATGAATTGAAGAATGCTGACTGACAAATATTAGTTGATGAATTTAGTTGGCATTAGTCATGACAGCATTTAAAATACCTTTTGGGAAAAGAGTGCTTATAAATCTAAAAGAACCTAACAGCAGAGTAGGAGGCTTAATGCCTACATCAATACTATCTGAAAGAAATTACAAGATAAACTGTTTCTTACATAATTGTTATCATGGTTAATGTTCATGAAATTTCTGCTTTAATAGGCCCAATAAATGTGGACTGCTTAGAAATGTAGATTACATCAGAAAATCTTAAAGTCAGGGGGGGGGGGAACTGACATTACAAGAAATGTCATTCTTTTGCATGAAAATATCTAACACCATATAATCAATATTATAAATAAGAGCTAGTTGAATGTGACTTGGGAAGTATTGCAGCAATCGTCTCTGCAGTTTAGATTTTGATACCTTCAATTGAAAGACAATAATTTTCCCACATATTATGTGGTTATGAAAGAAGGTGTAACCATGGTTATAACAGCTGCTCAAAGATTTCTATAAAGTAAGGATTCATCAGTTAGTGAAAGAATAGCAGAAGTGCAGGTGTTTACTACTCAAGATATTCCTCCTTATAAAAATTATTATACCTCTTTAGCATGCATTGTACTTTTAATTTAATATATAAGATACCAGGATAACATTTAAAATCATAAGCAAAACTGTTTTACACAAAAAGCAATTTTATTGCAATTCTATATAAAAAGCAATTTGTATTTACAAATAGGGTCACTTTTTTTTTTTTTAAAATCTAAACAAATTAACATGGTTTTTGCTAAATGAACTTTCAAGCAAATTCGATTAGTATAAAAACTAATAGCATGTGACTTTTACATAAGCTGTGCAATATCTGCACCTCTCTCTACAGCTAAAGATTTAATAATACATTATATAATGGAATAACTAATTATCTTACCAATGCTCGTAATATTCAGCTTTCTTGCTACATCATTCATTACTCTATCAAGGAAGGAACTTTTCGGTGAATAATAAACTTGCCAAGAAAATGTAGCATTTGGGTCTTTTTCAGCTATTCCAGAGATATTGTATGACTCATATAAAGTTTCATTTGTGTTACTTTCCACACTATACATATTGCGCAAAAGAATAAGGAATAGCATACAAAGAACAGGAATTAATATTCTCAGTATAATTATCCATGGATGATGGAACTGGATCTTAATATTTTTATAAATTAGTAAAATAATGTGAGAAAATTTTCCCATTTCTTTAAGCTCTGAAATTAAAAAATAAATAAATAAATAAATAAATAAAAGAAATATTTACTTAAAACATAAAATCCATTGCTATACTGAAAAGCAAATTATATCAAGTTTTAGTAATGTATAAAACACGCAAATAGCTTTCATAATTTTTAAACAAATTCACAAAGAAAACAAAAGACGGGTTTTAACAAAAGTTTCTCACCAACACAAATATTGTCTGTTCAAACAGTTCCCATTTGCGTGTCTAATCATATTTGTCAAACGATTTTTGGGATTTGAAAGAAAAAGACTTGCTTTAGAACACTGTGTTGTGATATTTGTAAAAAAACTATCCTTATTAGTCAGTACAAGGTGTCTGCAATGAAACTATCATGCTTCCAGATTAGAACCATGATCTACCTCTAGTTCTGTTGCAAAAAGTCAACTACAAAATATCACCAAATCATGAGTACAGCTTTAGGTACTAATGTTGTATCATATGACACTGTGAAGTTTGGCATGAAAAGTTCAAAAACAAGGACTATGCCTGCGAGAACTTCTGGAAGGAGCTCAGTATGCAACCACTTGAGAGATTTCTAAGGAGTTAGACGTTAGTGCCATAGCAATTAGTCACACTATGCACCGCAAAAGCTTGACATACAAGTTCAGTCGCTGGGTGCAACATGAGCTGACTCAAGCAGATAAGGATGTGTTTGGGCCTGCACTAATCTGCTCAAATATCAATGCAAGGACAAAATTCTAACCCGATCATCACTTGAGATGAAAAGTGGATTTACTTCAACAACACAGGCTAAAAAGGGGTTGATCTGTGCCTGATGAGCCCGTCGCCAGCGCCACAAAGCGCAATTTGACTAAAAGACCATGCTTTGTCTTTGGTGGGATTAGAGTATCTGGAAAAGGTAAAACACTCGATAGTAAGGTATACAGCGAGATGCTAGTCGACGTTGCTTTCAAGGGGAAATGTCAAACTGATTTCCGGTGCAAAAAGGTAATGCTCCATTAAGATAATGCAAGACCATATGTGTCTGTTGCCTACACCCACCATATAGCCCCTACATTGCTCCTTCGAACTTGTACCTTTTTTCACACCTGCAGCTACATCTTGGTGCTATCTTCCATTCTGTGCAGGATGTCCAAAATGAGGTTTATCTGTTTTTTTCTGAAGACTTTGAAAAATAATCAAAAACATTGGCAAAAAAATCATAGATTTGGGCAGTGATTACTACCTGCACTAAAGACGCAGCTTTCCTGCCCCCCCCTTTTTTTTCTAATTTTATTAAGAACCTTTTTTTGACAAAACACTTTTGTTACAACCAGATAAAAGTATGTTATAAATTTTAGGGATATATAAATCAAGACTATGCTTAGAAATTTTTATGAAACAAATAATATAGCCTATATTTTAATAAAAGGGAATTTATATTTTGTCCTGTCTGCCCAAGCACTGGCTTGGAATTTATCCTAAATTCTTATGTTGATTGGCATTTTTGAGACAATTAGTGTGGGTTTAAACTGCATAGAGAAGGATTTGCAACAAGCCTATATATTTAGTTTTCTTTCAGAATGTAAAACGCACAGGTAATTAATTACCACGATTAGAAATTATCCTAGCTAAAACTTTTTCTATCGAAATTTGCTTGTTTTTTCAGATTTCGGAAAATTGTTTCTATCATACTCCAAATCAAATATTATTGTTATCCTGGCTGCTGCAGTAGTACCAATATGTGATCACCATGCTCCCTATTGCCCTTTTAGCTGATGTGATAATACTTAACATCTTATTAATCATTATTAATTTGTTTACCCAGACATTATTTTATATTACTATATAGAACTTTTCTTAATTCATTCAAAAAAATAATTTTTTATACATAAAAATTTAATCATTAATATATAACCATTTTGTTAAAAAATCCTTTGCTATTTCCAGACAACTTTATGATTCCACTTTCAAAGAATCCCTGATCTTTTTCTGTAAAAAAAAGTGCAGGTGGGATTTGCACAGTTATCTGAAATGAAGTTTTACAGAGCACAAAACAAATGGTAGTCTGATGCTATGCTTTAAGGTGGATATGATAAAACATCCAAATAAGCTCCTATGGTTTGTGACGACAGATTAAAATTATATGCATTGTCATGGCAGAACACAACACTGTTTGGTGAATATTGAAGTAGGAATACTATTTCACTAAAAGTTGGGGGAAAAAAAAGTGTTAGAATATATACACATATATATTGTTTCAAAAGAATTAATAGTAAAGTTAAATTTAAATAATTTTCTTGTGCCATTGCCGTAATTTAGCTTACATAAGTATATTACAGCTAAATTGTTTGCATATGTGTATAAAGTGGTTCACATTTGTTTTCAGACACTTGTATTTTTAAAATTTATTTGTGCAGATCTTGCACTAAATATTGCAACTGAGACTCCAAATGTTTTCTGGTGTATCATTTTTTTCTCTATTTTAAGCCTTGTTTTTTTGTAAAATAAATATGACCGAAATATTCCTGGTAATAAAAGAATTTGTGCAAAAAATATAAATCAGCTGCATATAATAATTCAGACACTCCAAACTTTTGTTGAAATATTTTCGTCTTCTTCAATGGCTCGACAGCCCAGGTATCTCTACTTTTGACACCTGTTTTCCAGTTTTTAACCTTTAAAGTATTAAGATCTTTTTTTGACACAATCAATTCATCTCAACGGGGTCTGCCCTAAGGTATATTTCCTATGGGCATTGCCAGAACTATTTTCTTGCAGGAATAATGTTTATTTGTTCTAACCAGATGGCCAGCCCATTTAAGTCTCTGTAATTTGATGAATTTTATATTAGGTTGTTTGTAAATTTTATAGAGTTCTAAATTAGATCATTGAAATATTTTAGTAGATAATATTTCATGCTCTATTTTTTTTAAATGAAACTACTTCACAAGAATTATCGTCCGCATATGGAAATTTTTAGATGTTTAGGAAAATATATTAACAGTATATCTGAACATGGCAAAACACTACAAATTAATGACCAATTCTGTTAGAACTTTTCTAATTCATCTTTTTAAGGACAAAAAGTACTTAGAATATCCAAATGTAAAATGTTAACTGTTTTATAATTAATAAAATGATAAAATTTGCATAGAAAAGTTGAAAATGCACTAACATTAAAACATAACACCAAGAAATAACAGATTTATTCTATTAAAAATCTAATATGACCCAAAAAATTAGTACTATAAAACATTCAGTAGACTTGGAAGAACAGTTTTCAACAAAAGTGAACCCTAAACCATTTGTAGGGTTTTATAAACATAGCCATTTATAAAAGCTTCAGCATTTAGGCTATATGGATACAACTGGCAATCAACAAGAAGAAAATTCTTTGTCAATAAGAAAAGAAGGGAAATATGACTGATCTTCACAAAATTTATAGTAAGCAAAGTTTGGTTAATCTTTGGATTATGGTAACTTGGCGATTTTTTGGCGAAAATTTGGCGACCAACTCTGCTACAGCAACCCTCTATTTTTTTTTCGCCGCCATTTTGTCTTCACGAAGTAAAGACATGTTTCTTTTCTTTTTATTTACTGAACACTTTTTCCAACAATCTACTAGCCAAATTACACTTATGGTAGAAATTTTATGTAACAAACTGCTTAATCATGACAAATATTAACTGCAAAATTGGGAAAAAGTGCACAATCGCAAACTCCTTGCGCGTTTTTCAGAATAGCACATACACATAAACCATTTACACGTCGACTTATTTTTACTTAAAAAAAATCCCAGAATTGCACAAAAATGGCATTGCACACACTCTTAACTTTATCCATCTACACTGCTATTTTCTCATAAATTACAAAAATTTGCACGAAAATGCAAAAAAATTCTGTGAATCTTTAAACTCGGTAAAAAGCACATACATGAAATTACCTGATTGCGAAAAAGTATATACCCTTTCCAAGGATGAACATTTCCACATATAAAATAAATAAAATATCCAAAAACTTTTACCTCTAAATTATATATTATATTATAAACGTCACCAACGAATTCATACCGCAAACATTACAAATGGTTACAAATACTTAGTGTCAAATATTTAAATTATTTCCATACACATTTACTTCAACTGAAACGCATACCAAATTCCTACAAACATAAAATTCACAAAATAACTATCATTTAATTAAAATATCACTAAACTATGTACACGTCGACTTATTTTTACTTAAAAAACATCCCAGAATTGCACAAAAATGGCATTGCGCACACTCTTCACTATATCCATGTATATTGCTTTTTTCTCATAAATTAGAAAAACTGGTTTAATCCTAGTATCCGGTGCACAAGGGATTTGGCTACTTTTTGCGACTTTATGATGAGCAGTAAAAACGAGACATTGCGATGAGTAGTTAACGGGTCATTCAAAGAAAATATATAGTTAAACATAGTATATATATACTATGCATATAGTATATATACTATGTATATACACACATAGTATATAGTGTATATATAGACGTTCTTTGGATCATTTTTGGTGTTGGTGATAATTTTCAAAGTCACGCCAAGGTTGCACCGTATACTAGGATTTTACCGAAAAATTTCATGAAAATGCATGAAAATTTTGTGAATCTTTAAATCCAGTAAAAAGAACATATATGAAATAACCTGATCGCAAAAAGTATATACCCTTTCCAAAGATGAACATTTCCAAGTATAAAATAAATAAAATATCCAAAACCTTTTACCTCTAAATTATCTATTATATTAGAAACGTCACCAACGAATTCATACCGCAAACATTACAAATGGTAACAAATACTTAGTATCAAATATTTAAATTACTTCCATGCACGTTTACTTCAACTGAAACGTATACCAAATTCTTACAAACATAAAATTCACAAAATAACTATCATTTAATTAAAATATCACTAAACCATGTACACGTCGACTTATTTTTACTTAAAAAAAATCCCAGAATTGCACTAAAATGGCATTGTGCACACTCTTCACTATATCCATGTACACTGCTTTTTTCTCATAAATTACAAAAATTACACGAAATTGCATGAAAATAAAATACTCAAACGTATTCTACTCAAACGTATTCCAAAATACTACAACATATAACTCACAAAATCACGATCATTAAATTAAAATATAATTAAATTAAAAAAACTACTTAAAATATAAATAAGCACATACATTAAATTAATAAAAATTAGATTACAATCCTAATTACTTTAAACTAAATCATTGCTAATAACAATTTTCCAATAATATCATATTAATTTATTTACTCCTTACATTTAGAACAATGCATAAAAATAATATCCTCAAATGATTAAAAATACTAACATACCTAATCTTCATTATGTGGCACGCACACTTCCACTATTTCACACAACACACAATGAAGCTTAATACAAAATAGTATATTACTACAGTTTTCCAAATTCCCCCCTTTTTCCGATTAAAGAATTATAATTCGTCCATTAATGTCACATGACATATATCATGATCTCTCATTTCCCTCACACAAAATAATGTGTAATCGGAACGGAGTACTTCTCACATTATTACCAAAGGCCTAGGTAAGTAACCTTTATCGCCTCCAAAAAGTCGCCAAACTACCAGTTACCATATTCCAAAGATCAGCCCAAAGGTTTGTCATATTGGAACAATGGTATTTCCAGTAAAGTCAAGATTTAATATATTTGGGTCTAACAGGAAAATTAATATGTGGCAAATCTGAACTAAGAACTGAAGTCGAAAACCCTATTCACTAGTGTTAAGCATGAGGTACAGGTATAATGCCTTGAGGATGTTGTGCTGCACTTGGAGGAAAAAAAAATTAGTGTTTATAAAAATTACAAAGATTAGTATAAATGCACAAATATTCTTAATGAAAACCTAAAAGCATCTGCAAGAAAACTTGGAATGCAAAATACATACAAGTTCTATCAGGATAATGATCCTAAACATATAGCCATACATGTTTGCTTGTGATTATTATACAGCTGTCCTAAAACTTTCAAAATTTATACATATTGTCTGGACTTAAAAACCTAAGGAACATAAATGGAAATAACTGGAGGGAAAAAAATAAGGAAGCACAATACGCATTTGAAAACTCTAATAAAAGCAATTCTTACATAGTACTGAAACATTCTTAAATGAGAAAATCAATTGAATCTATGTCAGAACCCATGAAAAGTTAGTTTTAGCTAAAGGATATCCAAAAAAATATTGAATGTCTCGTTATCTTCATTTTTTTTTTATTAAACATAAACAGTTCATTGAAAGTGTCCAAATATTTACATAAATTCATTTTCAGAACTTTTTGAGTAGTTTATTATTTTTAAGAAAAATATGAATTTTTACGAAAATATGAATATTTTTTTTTTCAAAACGGTCAAATTTTAAAATAGATTATCAATAGAATAAGTGGGAAAAAAATACTTTTGCTAAAATTCAGTAACTTATATTTGCAAATAAAAACAAAAAAAGACGTTTCTGAAAAATATATATATATATAATATAAAATATATATATGAGCCGCTGTGTCTATAATGCGACAAAAGGACATACCAGTACATTGCGTACTACAATAAAGATCTGTTTTATATTGCAAGAGCTTTTCACAAATAAAGATGGGAGAACTTTTTTGTAAAATTTTTGAACGCCAGAAACACTTTTGCTGACCCAAGCTAAATATAATGGAAGCATAAACATCAGATATATTTTTTAAAACTAACAGATTTAATTTACGTGGAAAATGTTAATCCGTTCACAAATGGATGCGAATATATAAATTTTACAAAAATATTTATAACGGAATTGTAGTTGTTTTGTAGAGTATAAGAGTAGTATATGAAATAAAGTAGGGTTATTTTCTTTAATTATGTTTAAATGTGGGAATGCTGAATTTTAACTGAAAATTACTTTCAGTAATTCGATGATACAATTTTATGAAAAATATTAATTTTAACACTAATCAGTCAGCGATAGGTAAGATTTTTTATTCCATGAGAAACAAAATTGAAATTGTGGAAAAATGAAAATAAAAATATCAACATCAAGAATTACCTTTCGAATAATAAACTCAGAATTTCAACATCGAAACTTTAAAAATTGAGCCAACTTGTTTTTTTTTTTTTTTTTTTTTTTTTTTTTTTTTTTTTTTTTTTTTTTTTTTATTTTTAATTGACAAAGGCAGCAAAGTTACAGTTATCTTCGTTTTCGCGACTCCAAACCAAAGGAATATTTACAAAATGTAACTCTAAGGAATATTTGATGATGATTATCGAAAAAAATTAATACATTCTTATGCTAAATAAAGCAAACAATATTTCATTCTTTCCGAACTTTCTTTTATTTTGGAAATATATTGTCAACAAATAGACATTAACCTAAGTTTTGCAGACACTTTTACTTCATCTGTTTACGCTGCGAAATGATTTAGCGCCAAAATTTTTGTATGAGTATGTGAGAGTTGCGATCGGAATTGTATGGCAAAGTTTTAAGCTTTATATAATCTTATTTTTAATGTTTATTTCAAAGTGTATAATTACTATTTAATTTTTCCTTTATCATTCGTAATACAGTATGTCCCAAAAAAGTATACTGTAAGTATTTTGATTTATGTTGATGTAATATATGTACTGTCAATTCTTTTTTATTTTTATATGAAATATCATCATTGGCTTTGATCAATATGATTTACATAATATTAGTGATGCTAATATTTACTTTTTGTTGCTTTTAAAACTACTATAGTTTTAATGTTCAGTTCCAATTCTGCATTTGGGTTTCGTCACATAGTAATTCATCGATCATATCCAGACATATTTAATTTTGACCTTTCTGCAAATACTCGAAGTGCTTCTATTGTATCATTCTGATATTATTAATTTTTACTCCCGTAAAATGCAATACCTTTCATTCAGAAATACAGTCTTGGTACTCTTTATACCACCCCTAAAGGACAATCTCTAAAAGTGATGAATATTTATGAGGATATTAAAAAAAATTATCGGTATTAAAAATTACAATATTCATCGCTAGTAAGACATTTCACTGACTGACCGTGGTTATTGCAATGGCTGACATTTGTTTCTGGACACTTGTGTTTTGCGTTTTATTTGCAAATACCACTTGAACCCTTGGATGCAGGAAGATACGACAGACCGACGTGTTCGATCGCATCCACTTCCAGTGTGCCACTTCACATGATGACAGGAACGTTGTGCGCATGGCAGTGATGGATTGCTCAGTCACATCACGAACCACAGCACATTCAGTCTGTAATGCATCATCCAGTGTCTGCATGTACCATTCAACGCTGTTTACAGCAGAGTGGTCTGTCTGCAAGATGTCCATTGCTTTGTCTACCCTTTATGCAGAACCACAGACATCTTCGCTGCCAATGGTGAGATGAAAGAAGGATCTGGATGGCAGAATGAAATGAAATTGTCTTTACTGACGAGTCATGCTTTTGTCTGCAACACCACGATGGTCGGATTTGAGTCTGGAGACACTGTCGAGAGAGGATGCTGAACAGCTGCGTTATGCACCGTCACACTGGTCCTGCACCAGGTATTATGGTACGGGGCGGTGTTGGATATCACTCTCGCACTCCTCTAGTATGCCGGTACTTTAAACAGCCAGCGCTACATCTCTGAGATGCGTGACCACATGTGGCACGCATTGTCCAAGGGTTCTTCGTCAATTGCCAGATTGAATTGCTTCCCTGACCGGCTTGCTCTCCGGATCTTTTGGCGATAGAAAACATGTGGTCCATAGTTGCTGAACAGTTGACCCAGATTGCATTCCAAGCTGACACAACAGATCAACGTTGACAGCGTGTGAAAGCTGCTTGGTCTGCTGTACCCCAAGAACACATCCAAAGTCTCTTTGAATCAATGCCGAGGCGTGTAGCAGCGGTGATCTCCAACAATGGCGGATACTACGGCTACTGATTCTGGAAGGAACCACACTTCACAGAAGTCTATAAATTTAATCATTTCATACTTGCTCAATATGTTATCTACTAAATAAATTTTCTTGTGATATCTCTTGTCTTTCTCGGTATTGCAGTTTGGGTGGCCAGCAGTGTACTTTACACGATTGCTAGGCTGCAGCCAGCTCAGTTACCCTTAGCACCTCCCTCAAGAGAGCCTGCTGTAATCTTGCTGGTTAAATTAGAATTTGGCTGTTTTCTCTGACTTCGATTGGCGGCATGTGGCGAGATTTTAGAGTTCTTTTTTTCCTGGTACCTTCTTTCTGTTTTCCTTTTTTCTGGGTGATATGTTTATCGCACATCATCTCAGATTTTGGGTAAGAACTACGTTGTTGTTTTGTGGTTTACATGGTAAAATGTGGTAAGATTAATTTGAAGTTTCTGAACGATTTGGAGTGAAAGGGAAAAAAGCATTAATTGACTGGTGTGGAAATGAAGGATTACTTAGTGGCCATTGTAAGTGTCCTGATTGTAGGAAGGAAATGCGTATGGTCGAATGTCAGACGATACCGATATTTTTTATTCTCATTTTCATGAATTTATATGGCAATTCCAGTATACACATACTAGTTCAGATAATTTTAAGAAGCTTCTGGATGCTGTTAAGGAATTTTGTTTGACTGAAGACACATAAATTTGTAAATAAGGCAAGTGGATATTTCCTTCGTGTAGTGCTAAGATGAATTTCCTTTTTTATGTTATTTCATTGTTTGATTTAAAATGTAATTTATTGAGATTATATATTTTTTGTTGGCTGCTCCCTTTGACTTTTTAAGTGAGTATTGATCAATGTATACATGGACAAAGTCAAGGGAGTGCACAATGCCTATTTTTTGCAATTCTGTGTTTTTTTAGTGAAAATATAATAGGTCGATGTGCACATGGATACTGAGTTTGTTCGCTACTACGCAAGCCAAAATAATAAGTCAAAGAATTGCACAAACTCTGTATCCATGTACCACCAAGAGGTACCCGTAAATATACTTTTAGCCAAAGCAGTTTTATCCCATATATAGATGATTCGATTTTTGGCGCAAAAATTGCTGCTAGGCAAAGCCAAAATCCGTCGGACAATTGCACAAACTTGGTGTCCATGTACTACCAAAAATCGCCAATAAATGCCAAAAGGCACCCGGAAATATATTTATACCAAAATCTGAAGTTCGTGATTCAGTATTTAGTACAAGATCTGTGCAAATAAATTTTTAAAATACTAGGGTAAAAATATATTTCAGACTGCCCTTTTGCCAGCAAGGCACAATTTTAAGATGTTCGCTACACAAAATCAAAATAACAGTTCAAAGAATTGTGTAAAATCTGTGTCTATGTCAAGGCCATCTTAATGGAAGAAGGCCGAAGCTAACATTTGGTTGACATCACAGCCAAGGGCGGTCAGCCAAAATGATCTTGGGTCAGAGTGCTTTCTTTTTTCCTGGTAGTATATGAGAAACAAATATATTCTTCTCTTCCTATAAGCAGTATTAAAAAAAAAATACCTGAAGAATGGATTATTAATATTTTACACTTAGACAACCGGATTGCATCTTAGGGGAGTTTCTCAGATAATATTAATTTTTGCTTGCTAATCAATAACTTGCTTTACAATACTACATCTTTGGTTACATACTATTATATGCAGTTTAATAGCATTAAACACTGCAAACTCAAATAGTTTAAAGCTAATTAAGATGAATATTATATCAAATTTTTAACCACAATGTGACTAGCTTTCAAAACTAAATATTTTCATTTATTTCCAAGCAATGCAAAAAACTATGCTTTTATTGTCTCATATAAAAAAATTATACCCAGAAATTCGAGAGCTGCAAATATTAATATTTCACGTTAAGTCAAAAGGATTGACATTCAAGAGAGAGTTATGAGCTAATCTTTGGAATATGGTAACAGGTAGTTTAGCGACATTTTGGTAAGGCGATAAAGGTTACTAGCTAGGACTTTAGCAATAATCTGAGAAGTACACAGTTCAAACCACAGACTATTTTGTCTCAGAGGAATGAGAGCTCATGAGACATGTAATGTGACATTTTCCAGAAAATTCCAATCGGGATTTTAGCTAATAAGCACTTAGAAACAATTTCGCTACTAAAGTGCAGAATCACCCACTTATTTGTTTGGCGCTTTTTACAAGAGTAAGAAGAATTGGATTTTTGTCGATTTTCTTTGACTTTTTAAGTGAAAATAGGTTGATGTGTACATGGCTAAGGTCAAGAGTGTGCGCAATGCCATTTTTGTGCAATTCTGGGATGTTTTTTTAAGTGAAAATAGGTCGACGTGTATATGCAATTCTTAAACACGCGGCAAGCAGTGGGCGATTTTACACTTTCACCCTTTCTCCCAATATCGCACCTAGTCTTCGTCATGATTAAGCACTTTTGTTCCATAAAAGTTCTAGCATAAGCGTAATTCGGCTAGCAGATTGTTGCAAAAAATGTTGAGGAAAAAAAAAGCCTTTACTTCGTGAAAACAAAATGGCGTCCAAAAAAAAAAAAAAAAAAAAACTAACAGGTTGCTATAGCAGGGTTAATCGCCAAAGTTTCACCAAAAATTTGCCAAGTTATCATAATCTGAAGATTCACCGAGTTATGCATCTCTTAGATATAAGATTTATCAATATTTACATTTAATTGCTAATATCATAATTTTTAAGATAAAAATATGTTACTTTTAAATTAATCTGTGAACATAGCGATATAAATGCATTCCATTTCTTCATTATTTGATTTACATGTAGATTTTTCACATATTGATTCTTTTTCATTTGTTATGCATAGACACATGTAGAAAAAGTTTCAGTGTAAAAATTTGCAGCAATTAAAAAATACTAATTTTCATAACCAAACATTTATTCCATAAATTTAAATACTCACCAAAATGTCTTCAACAAGATATCCCAGATTATTAATTATTAAACTAATGTATTAATAAAGATTGATTTTTCAATTTCTGGGGTTTTAATTGTTTTAAAACGATCATTATCATCAAAAATTTGAATAAGTGGTTAATTGAACTAAGGGAAACCCTACAGTGCTTCAACAGTCTTTTCATCAAAATAGTTAACTGCAGTAGAAACATTTTGCATTTCTAAAGAGGTTGAATATAATACTTTTTTTAAAAGTGCTTGAGCTGTTTGTATAGAATGGTGCTGCTCTATGGTGTAATTTTTTTTTTTTCAAATGGAATAGACTTGCATAATACAGCTTATTACCTGTATCATTTAAAGATGGTTTGATTGGTTTCAGTTTGGTTCAACCTATTATTCATTATACATTTCAGAAAATAAGCTAAAGCAAATAGTAAAAAATCTTTTTTCCCAAATAAAATTCATTTTCAATAGCAGACACCATATGACCATTGCATATCATTTATGGATACATAGTTGTCGGAAATTATCAAAACAACCTCGACGCCACAATCATGAAAAAGCTTTAACATCTGTACTGTCTGAATTTTTAAATCATTTGACTTGAGATTATGGGCAGGAAACATTGCAACTTTTTTATTTGAAGATAAGATTGAAGAAATCATAATGGTTTCTGAGGAACATCTGTACAAGACAAACCTTCAATTTTACCTTTCTTATATACA